AGCTCCATGGGGTCCTCTGTAGCCTCCTGAGGGGTCCTCATGACCGACACACCTTAGAAAGTTCCATCTTGGGTTGATTTTTGTCAAGATGAGGCTGGGATACCTGATACTTGAAGGAGAATCAAATGATTATCTGTTCTTCTACTGTCTCCATTGGCAAATCAGGTGAGATGTCAAGAAAGCAGGGACCCTGGGCCATAGGAATTTCACAGTTTACAGAGAAGTGTCTTTCCTTGAGCCACATTTCAACTCATGGCCCTGGTGTTGGTGGTGAGGGAATGTTGGAAATAGCCATGGGAGAACCATTCTTGCTTATTACTCCCTTTTGATACGGAATACTTTCCATATGATGGTCCATGTAATAAATTCCTCCCCAGGAATAATTTTATCTGTCTTGAACAATGATATGTTTTATTTGTCATAAAAGAAAGGCTGTGCCATCCATCATGTTTCTTTTTTTGCCATAGGTACTAGTAAACCAGCTCAAAAGTTAAATTTAGTACTCATTTACCTTGATCATCTCATTCCCAGTTTCTGAAGAAAAGAAACTATCTTTTCTTTGCTATGATTTCTGAGCTTTGAAAGCATTCAGAATTTAGAGAAGGGTCCATGGTTTCTTTCTGCTTGAATATAAATACTTCGGGGAAGTTCTCATGAATAGCTGCTGGGATTAAGGAAACTAAATCTAGTCATATTTTAGTCCCCGTCTCTTATAGGTTCTTACTAATTGAGAAGAATATCAGAACCAGTTACACGGTCAATGTTATTATACAGAGCCCTAGTAAATTAATAGGAAAATGCATCTATATAAAAAGTCAAAACCCTCCATCACAATTTATCCACATGTGGCATTCAGGACCCTCCTGTGGATGGATGTTGATCTGCCAAAGAGACTGGTACCCAACCACGTGGAGAATCACGGTCTGATTCACATCTCATTGACAGCCAGCGAGAGGAGGCCAAAGGTAGCCTACCTATTGGACTAAACTCTGGAAGAGAGCTCTAAACTGTGGCCCAATAACTTTCCCTAACTTGTTGAGGTCAGGCCAGTTGTGAAGAAGAGAGAGAGAGAGACCATTTATTACTTGTGATCTTTACCAAGGACCACTGCACTCCCTGGGGCTGGTACACAGGCAGGGTGTTCAGCTGAGGGGACTTAGGGCAGGGCTGAAATCCTGTCCACTCTGCTCCTTTTTATAATTCACTCTTCTCAATGGAATGTCTTGCATTTAGTCCACCTAGCAGGAGAACCATTTTCTTTTCTTTTTTTTTTTTTTAATTTTTATTAGTTGGAGGCTAATTACTTTACATCATTACAGTAGTTTTTGTTATACATTGATATGAATTAGCCCTGGATTTACATGTATTCCCCATCCCAGTCCCCCCTCCCACCTCCCTCTCCACCCGATCCCTCTGGGTCTTCCCAGTGCACCAGGCCCGAGCACTTGTCTCATGTACCCAACCTGAGCTGGTTATCCGTTTCACCCTAGATAATATACATGTTTCAATGCTGGAGAACCATTTTCTAAATCACACAAAAGCTCTATATAACCTACAGGGTCACTTCTTTTGCATCCCAGGTGGTGCAGTGGTTAAGAATCTGCCTCCAATGCAGGAGACATGAGTTCAATCTCTGGGTCAGGAAGATCCCCTGGAGTAGGAAATGGCAACCCAGGTGGCTCAGATGGTAAAAAGAATCTGTCTGTAATGCTGGAGACCCAGGTTTGATCCCTGGGTTGGAAAGATCCCCTGGAGAAGGGAATGGCTATCCACACCAGTATTCTTGGGGCTTCCCAGGTTTCTCAGACAGTAAGGAATCTGCCTGCAATGAGGGTTCTGCCTGCAGAACCTTCCTGAAGACTGGATTTGATTCCTGAGTCAGGAAGATCCCCTGGAGGAGGGAATGGTTACCCACTCCAGTATTCTTGCCTGGAGAATTCCAAAGGAGACTGGCAAGCTACAGTTCATGGGGTTTCAAAGAGCCAGACATGACTGAGCAACTTAACACTTTAACTTAGCTTCTTTTACTGTGGTCTCATAGAAATCACTTCTCTGATGAGGAAGAGAAAGTGTGGAGGTTGGGGGAGGGGGAAGAGCATGGAATAAGCAACTATTAAGTGATGGTCCAGTGTTTTTCTTTCTTGGGGTGTGGAGAAGATGCACCCACTCCACCTCTGTGAATTTATGAGGGGCTGAGGTAATAAATGCTGTCTTTCCTAGTGGCTCAGACAGGAAAGACTCTTCCTGCGGTGCAGGAGACCCAGGTTTGATCCCTGGATTGGGAAGACCTCCTGGAGAAGGAAATGGCTACCCACTCCAGTGTTCTTGCCCAGAGAATTCCACGGACAGAGGAGCCTGGTGGGCTGTAGTCCATGGTGTCCCAAAGAGTCGGACATGACAGAGCAACTGACACTTTCACTTTTTTTTTTCACTTTTATAATTATATATGACAGAGAGGGATAGGATGTTAGAAGAGAGAATGGCGTTCTTAAAGGAAAAGGAGCGTTGAAGTGCCACACACTCAGCAAGCGCTAGCTTAGTGCTGCTGTGTGCCAGGCTCAGCGGCAGGCATGGGAGATCCTGTGGCGAGTGACACAGGGTCTGTTAGGACACCCAGGTTTTGGCTTCCATGAGCCTCTGGATTCTCTCTGAGGCAAACTGCTTTCTCCTCTGTGTCGTAAACCTCTATGGTATTAGTGTGGTTCATGTTCTCCTAGTTCCCACATCCTTACTGCATATTTAGGCCTCTGGAGAACTTTCTGAGAGATGTTCCTTCAGAGTTCTTGGCTGGAGAATAGGTACCCCAGGAGCTCCTTTCTGGTTTCTCCTTCAAACCTCCTATGCTCCTTTGTGTTCATATCAACACCATTACTATCATTGAGTGGCTTCATAATCTGCCCCCAAAAATCTATCAGCAGGTAGCTCTACTGAATTCAGGAATACCCACTTTAGCAGATTTAGATGAGTAATCAGAACAGCTGGGTGACTTCCCTGGTGGTCCAGTAGTTAAGACTGTGCTTCCACTGCAGGGGATATGGGTTCGATCACTGGTCAGGGAACTAGATCCCACAGGCCATGCAGCAAAAAGTTAAAATACACATAAAAAGTTAAAAAATAAATAAATAAGCATATGCCGTGTGCTCAGTCGTGTCTCATTTTTTGCAACTCCACCGAATGCAGCCTGCCAGGCTCCTGTGGGATTCTCCAGGCAGGGATACTGTAGTGGGTTGCCATTTCCTACTCCAGGGAATCTTCCTGATCCAGGGACCGAACCCACACCTCCTGTGTATCTTGCATTGCAGGTGAATTCTTTACCCACTGAGCCATCAGCCAAGACATTTTAAAAGAAGTAACATTAAAAAAAAAAAAAAAAACCGCCAGAATACAGGATGTTAAGTGAGGACAGAAAAGACGAGACACTGGTGAAAAGAGCAGGCCTAACCGTGGGCAGAATCACTCATAGAAGACAGGGAGCGTGTTTCTGCTTCAGAATGAGGGAAATGGAGATAGAATTTTTCACATGATCAGTTTACTTTTGAGAATAAGCACTAGCTCCCTTGTAGAGAGGAGCAAGCCCCATTTGAAACAGGGAGATTTGACCAGGAGCTATTTCAGCAATCAGGAAGAATGTGCTGAAGATCTGGGTTAAGAAGGTGACTGACTGACAGGATGAAGAGAGGGGAAGGATTCAAAATAGATTTGGGAGCTCAAATGTACAAGACTTGGAGACTGATTAAATACAAGAAGGGAGAGAAAAGTCAGGGGAAAGTGCTCCCAGGTTTCTGGTTTGGGTAGTGGAGTGATATCTGTGCCCTGTAACAGGCCAAGGCCGACGCCTTAATCCTGGCCGGGGGTGGAATCTGGAAAAAATGATAAGTGGGGCTGGAGCGATTGAAGGACAGAGACCTGGGTAGACCACTAGGCTCCCCCGTTTTAGTACAGGCTGCATGTCACCACTTCATTGAACTCAGGGATGTATACACCATTGCTGCTGCTGCTGCTAAGTCGCTTCAGTCGTGTCCGACTCTGTGTGACCCCATAGACGGCAGCCCACCAGGCTCCCCCGTCCCTGGGACTCTCCAGGCAAGAACACTGGAGTGGGTTGCCATTTCCTTCTCCAGTGCATGGAAGTGAAAAGTGAAAGTGAAGTCGATCAGTCGTGTCCGACTCTTAGTGACCCCATGGACTGCAGCCCACCAGGCTCCTCCGTCCATGGGAGTTTTCCAGGCAAGAGTAGTGGACATAAATTAATTTTGTCAAGAAAATCTAAAGTGAACTGTGGCACTGATGCCCATCAGCTTTGGACTAGACTTAAAGAAACCACCTGTCTTCACCCTCTAGAAATGTCCCAAGAGAACACCTTCACAAACGGGAGACATGAAAGTGAGACTACCCAAATCCAGTAACCTGTTGTCCTGGAACCTCTAAGAAATTGACATGCTCCATAAAAAGGCATGTGGTTCAGGTTGACTTTAATGGAATTCCCTTGCAAACCACAGATTCTAAATTATCCCCTAGTAGGTATAACATTTATAGGAGACATGTTAGTTTACTCTGAATACCCCACTGATTTCTGACAGTAGCAGAGCTCAGAATAATATCGTCTTTTACTAGAATGCCCGTGCTACATGTTGATTTCTGTAAGCCAAAGAGAATAGGTGTTGGTAATAAAAGAATAATGTTTTCAGATAAAAAGAAAGATATTTAATTCATTCCATGCTAATAAATACCAAACACAATCTCCTAAGAAAAACCACACACAATCTCCTTATACTATTTGGTTTGTTTTTCTCTAATCCAAGGCAAGGCATTTTCTTTGGGGGAAGAAAGAATACTTTTTCCAGGTCTGGAGATTAAACAATTTAGTAGTCGCTTCACGTTCAGCTTACAAAAAGGGGATTTGCATATGAACTTGCTTCGGCAAGAAAACACATCTGAGCGTGTTTCATGGGAACTATCTCTAACCATGGCTCCATCTTTTCTCTTCTTCATGCCTATAGGTCACTGGATTGAAACTATCTCAGGACCTCGATGATCTTGCCATTCTCTACCTGGCCACAGTTCAAGCCATTGCTGTAAGACACTTGAATGCTATTTTTAAAGAGATTTAGGTCTATTGATAAAGTTGAGACCACATATCCCCCAGCATACATCATATGCTGTTGTGACAGATTTTAGGGAGCTTGCCAAAAATAGATGCTTGTCTGGAAGGAAATTCTGAAGATCTTTACCTGCTTTACTATTAGCTTCACATAGCTGGGAACTAAAAGGAGTTAAAATCTTAGAACATCTTGCCTACCATTTATCTAATTTGTCTTCTAAGTTCAATTAAATAGAAGCAAGCAAGCAGATGCCGTGTTCTTGTGCATTAAGAAGAGCTGGTATTAAGAATGTCCAGATTTACACAATACATGATATTGTTCACTTTGCAAAAGCATCCAGTCTGGGATTCCTTTAAATAGTCAGCTTCCTTGGAACATGAAAATGTTTGTTTTTATAATTAGTTGCTTAAATGAAAGCGTTGGATGATTAGGCAGAGAGAAAGGGGAGAATTCAGTGTTATGAACTCCTAAACTGAAGATCAATCAGAAATGAAAACAAGTTTTTAGAAGCTCAAGCATCACTGTCTAAGGACTCATTCTCTAGAGGTGATCTGTGAGTGAGCTACAGAAGGGCTCTAAACCTGAAATAACATATGAAAGATTGCATGTATGTGCATGTTAGAAAGTGCATTTGAAGGGAATGAATCATGGCCTTCAGGATCTCAGAGCTGGTAGGAGCTCCAAAATTACAATAATCCACTGAGGCTTAGTTGCTCTGCTCTGGAAAGGGAGTTGGGGACTAAAGGAAAGGAAAATCAGTTCACTGAATTCTGAGTCATAATTTATTTTTCAGAAATGTACCTACTTAAGCAAAGTACTTTTGTTTATTCATGCTATATAGGTATAGCTATATGCTATTCAGTTAGTCTGTTCTCCACATACCACTTTCGTATCCTCATTGGTTTAAAGAATAGAATTACATACATATTTTCTATATATCCATATCATCAACTAAAGTACTTTCCCTATGTTTAAGTTTACCCAGGTACCACATACATACAATAAAAGAGTAGAGTTGGCCAACACAATTAAATAATGCTTTTTAGTTTATAAACAAGTTTATCTATAAATAACTATTGAAGTAACTGTCTTATTGATTTAAGAGCTTGTCCAGTTCAGTAATACCAGTCAGCCTGCTTTATTTATGGGAACTTAGTAAAAAAACAAAAAAAAGGATAGTTCTGACATCTCTCAAAATGGCAAGAGTGACTAGTATGAAAAGATGAAAAAAATGGAGAAGAGAAATATGCATCAGTAGTAAAGGTAGTTATTTAGTGATCTTGCTTCCTAGTAAAGATGATAATAATAAGTGATATAGTTTTGAGATATTATGTACCAGGTAGTAGGCTAAATATTTTATGTACATTATATGACTTTACCTTATGAGGGAGGAATTATAATCCCCATTCCAAAGGTTAGAATCTAAGCCTAAGTGAGGTTAATCAACTTGCTCAGTTTCATACAGCTAGTAAGTGGCAGAACTGGGATTTGAACCCATAGCTTTCTAAAATAAAACTGGGTACACAGTGTATTGAGGAGCGTTTATTTTCTGATGCTGATGTGTGGAAAGTCTTATAGTGGAATGAATCACAGGCATTAAAATGAATAATCCCGGAAAATATCAGAGCTGCATGAGGTTCATCCTTCTGAGTCCCTGCTAAGAGGGAGACATGAAGAAGGAGGCCACCCAGGATGAGCCAAGGGTCACCATCATCTAATGATCATCGCTCTTCCCTCTCACTGATGCCCACTGCCTGTGCCAGGCACCAAACAGGGTACCTTACCCACTGTGAGTAACCCTGTAAGTAGGTGGTCTTGTCTCATTTTACAGACAGGGAACACTGCTTGCCAAGGTCAAACAGCTAGTGCGTGGCAGAGTCAGAATCTGAACCTCTGTCCTTCTGCTCACTGGCTTTTGCTCTTGCATGTTACCATTCTACATTGCCCTTGGATCAGTTTGTAAAAGCTATGTGATTGAAATAAGCCTTCAGGCATTCCTGAGAACAATTTTGATTTGACACATCTTAGAAAACATCATTAATCTGGCCAGGATTGTCTCACAGAGTCCCCTTCCTGGTAAGAACACTGTAGCAGAAATCCAAGAATGTATAATGTGTCCAGAGGTAAAGAAAGGCTGGGGCAGGGGAAGCCAACTACGTTTTCCAAACGCCACACACTTGGCAAATCACTTTTGTATGTAATAGTTGTACATGTGTTAAAAGCTATCATATTTATTCTCTCCATTGTTTTAATGACCTTTATAGCACCACGAAGGAAAGGCAATTGAAGATAGATTTTTCAATAAGGCTATGTTGTGCAGTCCATTGAATTGTGAGGAGTTCAGTCTGTTTTGCAAAAGTATCTTGAGTGTTCTGATCTTTTAGTTCATTTGTGCATTTTAATGTGCATTTTAATTAGCATTCTTATACCAGAGATTTTCCCATGATGTTCAAAAAATGTGTTCACTGACTATGAATATTGCCCTTACACCTATTGATTATAAAGTTAGTTAAGCACATTCCTCTCCATAGCAATATCTATGGTTGACATTTTCTAAGAACAGAATGAAATTAAAGAGATATTGTACTGAAGTTAATTTGAGACTATGCAAAACCCTTCATGATGTGAAATTCTCTCCTGACCAAGCTTAATTGAAAGACCTGTCAAACACCCAGTTTATACATAGCCTGTTCATCCATAGTTTTCTTTGCAGAATAGACCCTTTAAAAGTACTATTTGCATTTGAAGTCTCTCTATTTGCATTTGGTTCTGTACATTCCCAGTGGAACAGCCTGATTTTAATTTAAATTTCTCTGTGAAAACATTTTTTCCAGAAAGGTGAGCACAAAATCATTTTAGCACAAAGCCCTTTGGTGGGGCGTTTAAGGAGGGTGGAGTGTTTCACACAGAGTGGCGTCTAAGTCGCCAAAAGGGAAGGCCCTGTAACTAGCCAGCAGCCTGAGTGGGAATTTCCTGCTGACAATGCCACACGGAGGATAGACAGGCCATCCCAGCCCCTCTGGAGGGAGCGCCTCTTGTTCTGATCACTTCTTGCCTTTTCCCAGAGAATGTGCTTTGTGTTACTCTCCTCTCAGGCCTGCTAATCACATGAGCCCCCAGGTTTCTGGTTTTAGAAATATCAGAAATACCCATTTTGCACGGCATCTCCACGCATGTTAGGAGGCAGCTTCCCCTCCCCTGAGGCAGACGGCATGGCTTAAAGCAAATTATGGAAATCCTAAATGGGGATAATAATATGCAGCTTTTGATTTTTTTTCATAAAATTAGAAATGATGTTAAAGAGCATAGCAGAGTGCTTAGCCTCTAGTTAATAACCAGAATAGCTCTCATTTCTAAATACCTTCCGTGTACTAGACACTCTCCTGTGAGCTATACATATTCTGTCTACAGCAGCAACTTTGCAAGGTAGATATGTCAAGTCTAAGACCACATTTTAAATTTTTTGTTGCATGTTAACATTTTAGACTGTCCTTGGAGTTATCAAATGAAAAATATGATGTTTTATTCCCATTTTTAAAATGAGAAATGAGTCATGGAAAGGTTAGGTGTGGATTTGATTCTAAAAGTAGATAAAATGCCTGAATGCCTTCCCAGGTTGTTTTTTTTTTTTTTAAATTCAAAAGCCACACTCTTATTTCCTAGGTGCAGATTCACGCTCCTAGAGTAGACTAGGGTTACCTGGAATCCACAGACACCAAATGATCCATGGCAAATGTAAGGACATTTGTAGGGCTCCTAAAATTAGTTATAATACTATTTTATATATGACTTTTTTCTAGGGAGGTCAGTAGGCTTTATCATATTCTCAAGAGGGTTCATGACCGCTCCCAAAAGCTTAAGAGAAAACATCTGGGGGTAATCAGGCATATTCAATAAGCAGGATCTGGTCTTATAGGGTACAACATGTTTTAATCTTTTTTTTAACACACTACATCTGTGGATGATCTTTGGCGGCCCAAGTTTTACCTAATCCATATTCTTACTAGACTCACTAATAGCTTCCACAAACCTGAAGACCTGTGGGCTGGAAATGCTTGGTTCTGCTCCTGAACTGCCCGGCTATTGCAGGAAAGACCCCTTCCAGGACTCAGAAAGGGGTCTAACACTCAGAAATGAATTGTCAAGGGAGACACACGTGCTGACAAAGCAAGAGACTTTGTTGGGAAGGGCACCCGGGCAGAGAGTAGCAGAGTAGGGAAGCCAGGAGAACTGCTCAGCCACGTGGCTCACAGTTTTAGGTTTTATGGTGATGGGATTAGTTTCTGGGTTGTCTCTGGCCAGTTATTCTGGCCAGGGTCCTTCCTGGTGGTGCAAGCATTACTGAGCCAAGATGAATGTCATCAAGAAGGATTCTGGGAAGTAGTAGGACATGTGGTGTCTGCTTTTGACCTTTCCTGAACTCTTCCGGTTGGTTGTGGCTTGTTTGTTAGTTCCAGGTTCCTTGCTAGGACCTCCTGTCGTAAAATAATTCACACAAATAGTTACTTGTGGTGCCTGGCCAGGGTGGGTGGTTTCAGTCAGTGTGTTTCCCCTAAGACCATCCCTCATCATTTACTCCACAGCAGTCAGGATTTTCTGCATCCTGATGATTTCCTAAACCCTCCTCCTTTCCTTTGGTGAAGCTCAGGTACTGCCTGCCCTCAAGCTGAGCTGTTGCCTCCTCTTCTGTGCACTTGAATGCCACCTGACCAGAACCACTGTCCACCTTCACTGAACCTGTGAAGCCCACACCCCACCTTCTTGGTGTTTGCACCATCTCTTACCTCCCAGATCCTTAACCTCCCTTTCTCCTTTGACCTACTCCTTCCCCTTGACCTTCTCTTCCATCTGCTTCAGCCACTTCCCGTGTCCACACCTGGGACTTGGTCACTCCCCTTGAACATCTCAAGGGCTATCATGCCACCAAAATACCTTCTCCCTCATTTCTTCCCAGAGCCACTTTCTCTAATATCACCATGCAGCTGCCTCCTAAAGTCATATCACAGTTCATCTTTTTTTTTTTTAATCCTCTCTCAAATAAATGATGATTTGGAGACTTCCAGTTATTTAACTTTCAAAGAAATTATGATTTTTAGCTACTCTAATACCCTAGCTAAAACTTGTGACTTATATATTAAGATTCACCTTGATGACCCTATGGTAGTATCTTCTTGTCAAGCATCAGTTTTTACTGAGTTTCATGAACTGAGCAAGACAAGGATGAAAATAATACATTTTTGAAAGATAGGAAGACACAAGGGCGGAAATGAAAATACGGTGAAGCTTGAGCCAAATAGGGCATATGGTTTCTGCATCATCTCAGATCACCAAGGACTGATGAGGAATGTATTCTGGCACTGGAAACCTTCTCATTAGAACCACTACCTGGTTTCAGGTGATAACAAAGGTCCTTTTAGCCCTCTGCTAGCCTGAAGTCTTGTGGCTTACCTTCTTTGTGCAATGAGAGCCCTCTTTCCATGACTGGTTTCAAATCAGAAAAGGAGTACATCAAGGCTGTGTATTATCACCCTACTTATTTAACTTATATGCAGAGTACATCATGTGAAATGCTGGGCTTTATGAAGCACAAACTGCAATCATTGCTGGGAGAAATATCAATAACTTCAGACATGCAGAAGACACCACCCTTACGGCAGAAAGTGAAGAAGAACTAAAGAGCCTCTTGATGAAGGTGAAAGAGGAGAGTGAAAAGGTTGGCTTAAAGCTCAACATTCAGAAAACTAAGATCATGGCATCCAGTCCCATCACTTCATGGCAAATAGATGGGGAAACAGTGGAAACAGTGGCTGACTATTTTTCTGGGCTCTAAAATCACTGCAGATGGTGATTGCAGCCATGGAATTAAAAGACACTTACTCCTTGGAAGGAAAGTTTTGACCAACCTAGACAGCATATTAAAAAGCAGAAACATTACTTTGTCAACAAAGGTCCATCTAGTCAGAGCTATGGTTTTTCCAGTAATCGTGTATGGATGTGAATGTTGGACTATAAAGAAAGCTGAGTGCTGAAGAATTGATGCTTTTGAACTGTGGTGTTGGAGAAGACTCTTGAGAGCCCCTTGGACTGCAAGGAGATCCAACCAGTCCATCCTAAAGGAGATCAGTCCTGGGTGTTCATTGGAAGGACTGATGCTGAAGCTGAAACTCCAATACTTTGGCCACTGGATGTGGAGAACTGACTCATTGGAAAAGGCCCTGATGCTGGGAAAATTGAAGGCGGGAGAAGAAGGTAATGACAGAGGATGAGATGGTTGGATGGCATCACTGACTCAGTGGACATGGGTTTGGGTGGACTCCGGGAGTTGGTGATGGACAGGGAGGCCTGGCATGCTGTGGTTCATGGGGTCGCAAAGAGTCGGACACAGCTGAGCAACTGAACTAAACTGAACTTCCATGTTTCAGCTGCTGGATTTGTTGGCTGCATTTCCAAGGAACAAACTTCTTTAGTTCCTCTTTAGGGAAGGAAAACTGACTCAGGGATCTCCAGCAGAGATCTTTCGAAGCAGAGTTTTTCGCAGCAGAGTTGCCAATCACTCCATTCCCCATAACTCATAGAGCAGAGATCCCCAGCCTGCCAGGTTGTACAGCAGAAGGTGAGAAGCAGGTGAGCTAGCGAAGCTTCATCTGTATTTACAGTTGCTCTCCATCGTTCATATTACCAACTGAGTTCTCTTTCCTGTCAGATCAGCCACAGCATTAGATTCCTATAGGATCACGAATCCTGCTGTGAACTGCACATGTGAGGGATCTAGGTTGCACACTCCTTGTGAGAATCATCCAGAAACCATCAACCCCACACCAGTCCGTGGAAAAATTGTCTTCCACAAAACCAGCCCCTGGTGCCAAAAAGTTTATCATAGAGGATCTGGGCCATAACGGATACTCATCAAATATGTGTATTTGAATGAACTGTGTTAACACTGTCAACTTGTTTTGTCAATATTGTGTAACTCCTGATAGAAGCAAATGGTATAATAATTCATAAGGTTTTGGAATCAGGCAGACCCAGGTTGGAATTCCCACTCTGTAACTTAATAATATGGCATTAGCATGAGCAGTGTAATCTCCTTGAGTCCTGACTTTCTAAGAGAGTATACACACACACACACACACACACACACACATATATGTCAAGCTCCGAGTGCAGTGTCTACTGCTGGGTAAACACTTAGTAAATGTTCTATATCATTTCCCTTTACCACCATGCTGATGCTTTCTTCTGTTTTTCCCTTGAAGTTCGGGACGCGCCTCATCATAGAGGCCATGGAGTCAGCAGGGCACTCGATCAGCACCCTTTTCCTGTGTGGTGGCCTCAGCAAGAATCCCCTTTTTGTGCAAATGCATGCAGACATCACTGGTAAGTCTGAGGAGGAGGAGAAGAGGTCATCCTAGACTTGACAGCACATGAATGTGGCCAAGATCTAGACAGAGTAGAAAAAAGGAGGATATAGGTGGGGTGCCATATTATTTGGAGAATTTATGTTAAAATTATTTTTTTCTTAAGTTAACTGTTGTTGTCACATGAGAGAAAGTGACTTTTCTGTGTATCCAACTACTGGATGATGGTAAGAAATAAGAGAAGTTAGCAAGGGCCAGATCTTAATTTTCAAATATTTACTTAACAGTCTTGAGTACCTCTTCTGATACCCTACTTTGGGTAGTATTGACGATACAGAGATGAAAACATGATTCTTGCCCCCAGAGAGCTCAGGGTCTATGGAAGAAGGCAGACAGCAAACAGACATGTCAAATCTAGTGTAGCAAGAGCTTTGAGTGAGAAAAGTACAGGGTGTTATGGAAACACCATGACCTTGCCCTGGTTTGGATCTGTAACAGTGCAGGGCAAGTGACTGGAGGAAGTGATAAGCAAACTGTCTTGAAGAAAGATTGCAGAGCCTGACTATGGTGGGAGCTGTGGGTGTCTGGCTGCTGGTGGGAATTTGAGCCCTGATTAAAATTTCAAGATCCTGTGATTCCTTCTCAGCTCACCAGAACCAGAGATCATGACACACAGATGGAGAGAATCATGGGTAATGGGCTGATCCTTCTGTGCTCTGAGCAGACAAAAGCAAGCAAGCTTCATAGTGCAGACTCCTGAGCCCCATGAACGGGGCCTCAATAATAGGAGGCCTGCTTGAGTCCCAGTGGCTGACCTGGCTCCTATCTCTCTGGACCTGCTGCCCTAGTGCCTGTTGCTCCCTTCTCTCCCACTGTCTCCAGGGAACTGATGTTCCCACTCCCCACCACCACACGGAGGCCAGGCACCATAGCAGGGCAAGTAGAGGGAAGTGGGAAAGGATTGGACCCTGCTTACAGCCCCAACTCCAGTCTCATCTGATTCTCCCTCCACTGGCCTCCATTCATCATGATCACTTGCTGCCCCCTGTCCCCTGCATGCCTTACCTCTGATGAATGAGGGGAGGTCCAGTTTTCTACTGGACACTCCCTTCCCCGCTCCAGGCCATGCAGATCCCCACAGATGAGAGCTTCCCCACATGTGATGGGGAACATCACCCCCTGCACGGTGTGAGATCAAACCCTGTTGCTGAACCCCATCTTAGAGGTAGGGAAATGGAAGCATAGGCCAGTGAACAGTAGCAAAAGCACACAGTCTAAGGGTAAATATGTAAAAATAAGTGTAGAATTGACTACACTCAAATGCACGCCTACTCTGTGTCAATGTAAATCCCTTTATTTATATTTAATCCGCACACACCACCGAAAGGTAGAAATCGGTGCCCCTGCCTTACAGACAGGGAAACTGAGGGTCAGGGAGGTGACTCACATTGACTGTCCAAGGTCAGACACCTGGGAGGTGCCGGACTAGGATGGTACCAGGTGTGTCCAGACCTGATGTCTCCTACACTATGCTGCTGACCCAGGTTTCTTAACTTTTCTGCCCAGTTTATAACCATTTAATGATGAATCCCCCTTTCCTAAAGTGTCCAAAACCTATGGAAATGGGCCGTTTGGAGGCAGAAAAGAAGATGTAAAAAAGAGCCCAGATTAGCTTATAATTTTCCCTAAGAGAAAAGCCATAAATATGCTTTATCTCAGAGTCAGCTAGCTTGTTCAAATACAATTCATACTTCAGATCTGATCTGTGAGTGACTTTCCAACGTCCAGCCTCCAAAGAGCCATCAAGACTTCCTACCTGGATCTAGGAAGAGAGATGGAATCAACCCTGGCTGACACATCACCCAAGGGAATAGGAAACAATAGCCCGAGAGCAGGCAGCAGGCCCTGACTCTACACTGCAGCTCCAGCCTTTAGGAAAGTGAGTTCTCCTCCAGGCCTCACACCCCTGAGCTGACTCAGAAGCAAGGGGTGCAGTGGCTTCATAGAAAGTTCTACTTTGGAAACTGTTCTCCTTTAGGCTGTCAAATGAAAAGGCTGTTAATCATTATTTGGATTCCAATTGAAACTGGACCCTTTGTCTCTGACTGTGGACCAGTTACAGTTTTGAACAAAGGGATCTTTTCTTTGGCCTGAAATGCCTCTGCCTGGGGAAGCCTGTGATTGACAAGTGATGGCAAAGTGCATCTGCCTTGAAATGCTTTGGGTTCTGCTAGACTCATTAATGCATCAGATAAAATAGTTCACATTCCAGGCAAAGCTGCCTTCTTCCTCTCCTTCACCCAACACACTGCAAAAAGAACACATTTGCATTTGTTTCTGTAAAAGATGGGTACACAAGCTGTGGGTGTATAGGTAGAGTGTTCGGTGCCTTTAAAATTGTAATTGCTCTAGTTTTCCTGCAAACAAAGCTATAGAAAGAACCGTAGACCTAATACATGATTCTCAGGAATACATGTGAAAACAAAATGGAATTTAGCAGATTCACTGTAGATAGTATGGAATAATGGAGCAGAGGACTAGCTCTGTGACTTTAGGCAAATTGCTTTACCACTCAGCCTCATTTCCCCCTTTTGAAAGGTACAAATAATATTATTTCCCTCATGGAGTGCATGCCGAGGAATAAATACTCGTGAGTTTGTGTGCACCAGTCTCTGTGCTTAGCTTAAGATAAGTGTTCAATGAATGTTAGTTCACGTCTTCCCTTCAGGCAGCCCCACGCCAAAAAGGAGGAGGTGCACTTGAGAAAAAAAGAAGTTAAATATTTTGTAAGCAAGTCTTTGCCATTTGGGGAACAGTCTGCTCCTGCTCTGTACAAGCAGGGAGAGCAGGATTTTGCCAACTTGAGAAATGTCCTCTACGTGAGGAAGAAGAATCTCGTTGTACCCTAGGCATATAGTTAACTGTGGTTTCAAGAAATATTCGGTATGTACTGAGTAATTATAGGTTTCTCTCACTGACTCGGGACTAAATGTTCCTCCTAAATTTTGTTTTGAAAAATTCTGGCCATTTCAGTAGGGGTTTCCCTCTGCCTGTCTTATTCATTATTCAATCATTTACTCTTTCATGTATTCATTCTCTGAGTTTGGCACAGGCATGTTAAGAAGAACAATCCTGTCCTGCCAAGAGGGTCATTACAAACAGAAAAAGTGCTGTTGTGCTCCGACCACTCTCCAGAGAGGATCGGGAGGCCCAGAGGACGTTGGTGTCAGTATGAGTCAGATCCGAGCAGAGAACAGATGACACTCACATTGGATTAACTGGAGAAAAGTCCAGTAAAGGGTCTGTTTACAGCGGCATGGGTAGGGTTGAGGGAAACCCCAGCCAGCAGGCAGTACCATGAGTGTACTCAGAGTCTGACTACCCCGAGGCTTCCAGGGGCCGGGGCGAGAGGTAACCCACCTGAGGCTGACGGGATGTGTGAAGAGGGGCCGTCTGACTGCAGATGAGCTCAGTCAAGGATGCGATCAGAGGGCAGGGGGCCTACAGACATGGTCCGTACAGGTCAGTGTCCCACGACCCAGACAAGATAAACATGAAGAATTTCGGATTCTCCAGGCAAGAATATACTGGAGTGGGTTGCCATGCCCTTCTCCAGGGGATCTTCCAAACCCAGGGATCAAACCCTCATCTCTTATGTCTCCTGCATTGGCGGGCAGGTTCTTTGCCATTAGTGCCACCTGGGAAGCCCAGATAAGTGCTTTCTCTAAGCCACAAACTCTTTTTTTAAGTGTCTTATTTACAATATCACTTTTTTTTTTTAAAGTATAGAAGCTGGGTCAATTTTTTATGAGAATGCTCTGAAACAGTATTAAAAATGCTCAAATAAGCTTGTAAGTTCTCACAACTCTGTGAGATCAGTGGAATTTTAACCTCATTTTGCAGCTGGGAAAACAGGCACAGAGAGGTTAAATAACTCACCTAGGGTCACACAGCTGAGACAGGGAGGAAGCCAAAATTCAAACCCTGGCAGCCTGGCTCCAGACTACTCTGGGCTACAACTGGAGGGCTGGCCGGGGATCCACCCAGCTCCCCCTGGAGTCCCATTCCCAGGACGGGGCCATGAGCCATTCTTCTTTGCTCAGACCAGTGAGACTTTAACAAGGAAAGGAAGGCTGAGAGGCAAGCAGCATGTGGGATGATGTCATGTGATAAGCCCAAAGCCCTTGGGGTGGTCAAGATCACATTCCCGTCCCCACGATCCCCAGACTCTGCAAAGGCTTGCCCTGCTCTCTCCAGAGGTGGCCCACACAGCCCTCCAGTGGCCTGGTGTCTCTCCTACCTTCTGGACGACTGATGGACATCTATCCCATTCTTTTCTCCACTGGTCCACTTTCCAGCCCAGGTGAAGTGCACCTAGAAGGCCTTCGCCCCTCATTGAGATTCTTCCTAACACCACCATTCTGAAGGGCTTACCATAGGTCAGGGATTGTACTGAGCCCTGTCCATCCCTTTCCCATTACATTCCAGCAAACCTGTTATTATCCCCATTTTACACAGGGGGAAACTGAGGCTAAAAGTGTATAAGTGACTTGCTGAAGGACACAGGGCTAGTGGAACCAGGTTGAGCTCTTCCCAGAGACCCCACCCCACCTTGTCAGCAAAGTCTCCAGCACTGCCCCTGTGGATGGGGCTGGTATTCCTAAGTCCCCTGGGATATGTGTGAGAATTCTGTCCACTGTTCCCTTCATCAAGGGTAGCTGGGGAAGGGGCCCCAACCTTGGAATGGAATGATGAGTTAGGAGATGGTGGGAGGGCAGAGGAGGCTATGTCCAGGAAGTCTTCCCCAGAAAAGACAGGAAGAAAAATCCAGACTTTGGAAAAACAGTATCTTGAGTAGAGGAAGATCTTACAGGTCTGGCCACAGAGCTTACCTCTGTGGAGTTTGCTGCCATCTCCTGATTAGCAAAAATATTTGTATTTTATGTATGTTTTATTTCATATGCACATGTATAAAATACTAAGAATTCTAAATTATTCCTATTCATCTTAAGTCTACTTTGAGCTAGGAGTGTTCCTCCCTGCCTGGTGGACCCCTATTCATCCTTCATATTCTTATTGAATCCTGAGCTCCACCACTCTGACCCCCTTCCCCATCTCAAAAATGTATTTGTTCGTCATATAAGCACTTACATGTGCTCAATACCAGTCTCAATTCCAGGGATCCAGCAGTGGACAAAATAAAGACCCTGCCCTCGTGGAGCTTGTGTTCTAGCAGACAAGACAGTAAACCAGGGAAGTAATAATACAGTGTTGGAGGGCATTGAGGAAGTTGAGGGGGATAAGGGATGTTGTGGGTAAGTTGTCATTTTACTTTGAATGGTCAGGAAAGCCACAATGGGAAGACATGTTTGCACAGACTTGCAGGAAGGAGTTACCCTGGGGACATCCTGAAGGAAGTGACCTAGACAGGAGGAACAGCACAGGCAGTGGCCTGAAGCTGATTCAGAAAAGAGCAAGGTGACCGGATCATGTGGCCTGGAGGAGAGGAGGAGCCAGTCAGGGTAGGAGAAGTGGCCCTGGTCTTGGAGTGCCTTGTCATCCTTGGTAAGGGCTTTCGCTTACACTCTGAGTGATGTAGGAGGCCCCGCCGAGGTTCATCACACCCTCTGTCACGCTTCCCTTCTCTTAGTGCATCTCAGTTACAGACCAACCCCGTGTGAGGCCTCTGTCTCTTTCCCATCCATCTCCCCTTTGAGACCTGAGTAGCAGAGAAGTCGGATTCATCCATGTCTGCCATAGGCTCAGTAGAGCACTTTAGAAAAGTTCGTAGAAAACTACTTGAAATGGCAGGTAGCAGCTAGCAGAAACCTAGAACCCGAGGCAAAAAGGTCTCCTGAGTTAAGGGGTGTGTGTGTGTGTGTGTGTGTGTGTGTGTGTGTGTGTGTGTGTGTTGGTTCCCAAGGGACCCTTGTCTACTGTACTGGCAGGTAGAGACAGGGAACTCCTTTAGAACCAAGTAATCCTAAAGAACTGGAAACTGCAGGGGGCAGGGAGGGAGCCCTGCCGCTGCCTTTACTTCAGGGATTCGTGCTGCTGGGGCTGCTGACTGGCTCCCCTGGCCCTGCTCCCTAACCAAGGTGTGGCCTTGTTCTGCGCAGGCATGCCTGTGGTCCTGTCGCAAGAGGTGGAGTCTGTTCTTGTGGGCGCTGCTATTCTGGGGGCCTGTGCCTCGGGGGATTTCGCTTCTGTACAGGTATGTGAGGACCGAGGGGTGGGCCGTGGCCCCTCCCCTGTCTGGGGCTGTCCTTCCTCTTGACAGCAGCTCATGTCTTGCAAAACACACACAGGATATAATTAAGAAATGATAGGCTCCAGCCAGGGAAAGCACAAACACTTCTAGCCTCAGACATATTTATTGCAGTTTTCATTTGACTTGGCTTTCATTACTGTCAGTCGTTCTGTTCTCCTGTTGCTTTTCCTTTTTTTTTTTCCCCTCCTTTAAAATAACTCTTACATGATTTCATCTAAATTCCCCCCTTTTTTTTTCTTTTAGCAAGTGAAACAGGTAAGGTAGAAAACTTAAATTTTTCATGTGAATTTCTGATTTTTATCTGCTTCCTTCATCTCCACCCACCGCTTTTTAAATACCTCCAAGGCCTCTTTCAACAAGAGACACAAATGTAAATGTTAGTAAAAGGGAATTAAAAGAAAAAATAAGGAACAGAGATACAGGAAGAAGGAAACAACTTGATGGTGATGATGGAGCACACAATTTGACTCTGAGCTTCCTGGCAGCCAAGACAAAAAAGAACACATGATAAGTTGCTTAATTCTTATTTTCAAAAAGAGGAAGCATATTAGTCTCTTTGGGAGACAAAGCTTTTCCTACCACCAAATTGCAAAAGACATTTCACATGTGGGTTATATGGAGAGATTTTGAGTTGTAAAACAATAAGGTTAACAATAGGTTTACAAAAAGTTAGAGAAACAGTATGGATTAGGGCTCAGAGCACAAACTCCAGAGTCAACCCTCACTTGACTTCCTACAAGTTCTGTGATCTGCTCTCCACCCTGTTTCTTTATCTATAATAATAATCAGGAGCACATTATGAGTTCTTTCTCTGAATCAGGAATGTACATTCAGTCCCACAACAGCTCTATTATCCCCCTTTTATAGTTGATGAGTCTGAGGCAAAAGAAGTTAAATAACTTGGCTTACGTGAAACAGCTAGTAAATGCCAAAACCAAGAAGTCTTGACTCTGAAGTTGTAACTGAAAGTTGAAGAAGTATTTGTTCAGGTGAGCATCAGAGAGCTTAAGTGACTTGCCCACTGTCTCAAGGTTAGGACTTGAAGCCAGGTTTTCCGTTAGTAGCTCAATAATGACAGCTTTATTTATTGTAACCTTCTTTTGTACCAAGAACTATGCTAGGTGCTTTTTCATATAATCTTCCTGGTACCTCTCACAACCCACATGGACAACAGAGATCCAGAAAGATTAAAAAATTTAAGGGTACATATTGGAAATGGTTACATGCAAGAGTCTCATTCCAACATTTTTGAAAGTGTGACGCCCTGCACCCTGCCCAAGCCTATCGAACTGATGCTTGAGATATCTCTTACAAAGAATTGAACCCGTTCATGAATGCTTGTGGATTTTAACTGGAGTTTTTAAACAAAGATGGGAGAGTTGAATTTTCAACATTTTTCTGGATTTTCTGGTAAATGTCAGAAACGTCACATGGAGGTTTTTATTGTTGAAATGTCAGTGACTTATTTTAATGTGTTGATTGGTGAAGATGTTCTCATAACTAGCTGCCTTGCCCTCCCTGGGATGAAGCATAATTGCTAGAACAAAGCAGTAGAGATGCTTACTGAGGCCCTGCATAGGTTAAGTCATATTATGAACTGGAAGTTTCTATTCCCTTAAAATTCAAATGTTGAATCCCTAATCCTGCAGCATGATGATATTTAGAGATGTGGCCTCGGGAGGTAATTTGGATCACATGAGGTCATGAGGGTGGGACCACTATGGTGAGATTAGTGCCCTTCTAAGAAGAGATATCTGACCTTGCTTCCTCTCTGCTGTGTGAGGACACAGCCGAAAGGTAGCCATCTGCAGACCAGAACCAACCCTGCTGGCACCTTGATGTTGGTGCCTTGAGAAAATAGATTTATGTTGTTTAAACATTTAGTCTGGTATTTTGTGATGTCAGCCTGAGCAGATGAAGACACCTCATTTAATCTTGACAGTCTCCCCTACCTGCAGGGTAGGGCTTTTCATTCCTATGTTATATATGAAGAAAACCAGGCTCAGAGATGTTTTAAGAAATTTGCTCAAGGCTACAGTTAATAAGGGACAGAAGCAAAATTGAAATCAAGGTCTCTCTGGATTTAATATATCCTCTGCCAATTTTCATTCTGTTTTTATTTTTTCCTTTTTTCTTGAAAAATATTTTTTGGCTTCTTAAATGTTCAAGAGTGAATTTTCTGAAAAGGAATGTCATTGGTCACAAAGGAGATTGTCTACAGCCAAAACAGAGTTGTGTGACATGATCTGACTGTTCCATCCAATGCTCCATACCATGATTTATGGCTCCTCATTGATATCTTAGTCATATTTGGAGTTTCTAACTCTGAGAAGATTCCACTCATATCTTCTCCTAGGTGAAAACTGAGCCTCATCCCACACTGACCTCTTCTTCACTACATAATATTCTCCCTTAATCTTCTGGAACAGTATCTGAGATAAGGTAGATTGAATGTTGGAATCAGTGACTTGAGTAGCAACTGGAAGGCTTACCACATTTTAAAGACAAGGTCCCATCCCCTGTTCAACCCACAGAATTAAGTGCCTCTCCTGATTATTTTTAGGAGACACTATAATCTAGTAAAGAAAGCCAGCAGGTGCAAGAGACCTGAATCTTACCTGTCATCACATACCAGGGAGAACCGATGTGGTCTTGACTTCTGTGTGTGATTGTTGTGCATCGTCAAACAGTGTCACTTGACCTCTCCAGGTGCTTGTTTCATTTATTTCCTTTTTAAAAATTGTTTAATCAAGAATTGCCACACCTGTGGAACTGCTGAGATAGAGCCTTTGAAAGCTTCAGTGACCTCCTTGAAGTTCAATTCAATCACATCCAACTCTTTTGAGACCCCATGGACTGCTGCATGCCAGGCCTCCCTGTCCATTACCAACTTCCAGAGTTTACTCAAATTTATGTTCATTGAGTCAGTGATGCCATCCAACCATCTCGTCCTCTGTCGTCCCCTTCTTCTCCTGCCTTCAATCTTTCCCAGCATCGGGGTCTTTTCAAATGAGTCAGTTCTTCACATCCAGTGGCCAAAGTATTGGAGTTTCAACTTCAGCATCAGTCCTTTCAATGAATATTCAGGATTGATTTCTTTTAGGATGGACTGGTTGGATCTCCTTGCAGTCAAAGGACTCTCAAGAGTCTTCTCTAACACCACAGTTCAAAAGCATCACTTCTTTGGTGCTCATATTTCTTTATAGTCCAACTCTTACATCCACACGTGACTACTGGAAAAACCATAGCTTTGACTAGACAGACCTTTGTTGGCAAAGTAATGTCTCTGCTTTTTAAGTGACCAGATGCCATGATCTTCGTTTTCTGAATGTTGAGTTTTAAGCCAACTTTTTCACTCTCTTCTTTCACTTTCATTAAGAGGCTCTGAAGTTCTTTGCTATAAGGATGGTGTCATCTGCATATCTGAGGTTATGGATAGTTCTCCCAGCAATCTTGATTCCATGAACTTCTATGAAGCACAGGTATAATTATCAACATTGTTATAATGATTATGTTTGGAAATGTAAATGCATGTACACTTGGATTCATTCATCTCTCTCTAAAGAAGAGATGCAAACCTGTGTGCCCCAGGTCTGGGGACCAGCTCAGGACTCTGGCAAGTTGAGGTGAAACAGAATAACTTCCTCCCTGTGATTCATATTCTTCAACCTGAACTTCAGACTTCAAACCTGAATTTCATAGATCCTAACTTGATCTTCAGGATGCCTGCTACCCCTTCCTTTAAGAAAGCTGAGCAAAACTTGCCAGCAACTCAGTGATTCCCGTGGGCCATAGGTTTTGTCTTCTTATAGGCTACACATATGGTAGTTGGATAAAGAATTTCACTTCTTATCTAGATGGGCTGACTTTGGTATACTCAGCCAGTGGCATCTCCTTCAGATGAAGGAAAGGATAAGAAGACTCTAAAAGACCCAGGCTGCATGTAGGAAGAGGCCTACGTGCCTGGGGAGATAGGATTTCCCAAATTCTTAGGCCATGAATGGATGACATCAGCCAGGGATAGAGCACTATGCCTTCCTTTGCTGGTACAAACAGATCAGAAGAACTTAGAGTTGTGGATTTTACTTATAGCTATTGCACACTTCTATATATTTCAATTCTGGGGAAAGTGTATCAGCTGGAGGGAAAGGGGTAGTGGATAGAATTTTCTGATGGGCTATTAATGAGGTTGCTCAAGTTACAAAGTCCACTGCTATTCAAATTTTGCAGCCCACTGATAGTTCCTGCTCCCACCCCTTGTTTATTTATCCATTCATATTCTTATCCTCAGAGTCTCCCTCTCTTCCCCTGCCTTTTTCTGCCCTCCCTTTAGACAGCTAAATTCTTCCTCAGTTCAGTTCAGTTCCTCAGTCGTGTCCAACTCTTTGCAACCCTATGGACTGCAGCATGCCAGGCCTCCCTGTCCATCACCAACTCCTGGAGCTTGTTCAGACTCATGTCCATCGAGTCAATGATGCCATCCAACCATCTCATCCTCTGTTGTCCCCTTCTCCTCCTGCCTTCAATCTTTCCCAGCATCAGTGTCTTTTCCAGTGAGTCAGTTCTTCACATCAGGTGGCCAAAGTATTGGAGTTTCAGCTTCAGCATCAGTCCTTGCAATGAACATTCAGGGTTGATTTCCTTTAGGGTTGACTGGTTTGATCTCCTTATAGTCCAGGGGACTCTCAAGAGTCTTCTCCAACACCACAGTTTGGAAGCATCAATTCTTCAGTAGAGTCTTCCTACTATTCCCTTTTCAAATTAGGATCTCACAAAGGGTGTTGGTATAGCTATCCAGCCACATTAAACAATAGAATAATAATATCTTACAGCAGGGGTCCCCAACCCCCAGCCCACAAACCAGTACCAGTCCATGGTCTGTTAGTAAGCAGGCAGTAAGCAACGAGTGAGCAAGCGAAGTTTCATCGGTATTTGCAGCCACT